AAAAATGTTTAACAAGTTTTTTTCTTTGTTATTGTTCTTTTTTTCATCATAACTTAACATGAGATACAATCAAGGAAAAATGTGCTTTAAAATGATCTGTATGACTTAAATAGAAACACATCAGCTTTAATGTTTTAGTGTAACGAAATTTTATCGTATTTATCAGCTAATATGTAGTATCGCACCCTTGAAATATTTTTAAATGCGTATTATGTCAATGTTGAAGACAATAAATATTGTCTTCAACAGTTTTTATTCTCAACTCTACTCTTTCAGTTTCCATTCGAAATATATAAGATATGTCATCAGGAAGTTAAATGCCTCACGCACATAAAAGGATGCTCGCAAATAAAAGAATTGGGACGTACCTGACGTGTCTAATATGGCTATACATTGTTTTCTTTGTATAGTTGTCTATGTTTTAAAAATGTATAGATAAGATTACGTATAATAAAGAATATATATACATTGTATACATGTATATGTCATTGTTTGCAGACGTATTTCTATTTCTATACAAAACAAAATAATACAGTAGAAATATCTTTCTGTAGTGATATATTTTGTAAATACATGTATTCATTTTACGGTCATATAAACAGAAGTTTAGTTCGGTTTGTAACGATAGATGCTGGCAAAGATCTGATTCATAGGGCCCAAACTATTCTACACAATTTGAAATGAACATAAGATGAGCGAATGTTACTAAATTAACAAATAATATACTGACTTATAGCTGCAAGGTAAAATCCATACAGCTAACTCCCTTCCATTTGGCTGCAAACTCCAAGTTGCAGACAAGATCTTAATTTTGCATATAGATCTTGATGTAAAAAATGAAATTAATGTTTAGTTTTCACTGATTTTATTCTTGTGAAAAAATTATTGTAATATATTGGACAATTTCATATCATTATTTTGATTTTGGAGAGGTTTATTAGCAGTATAACATTGATTCTTTAAAGCTTAACTCAATCTGAAAAAAAGAGAAAATTCCAAAGAAATTATTTATATCATATTTTTAAATTGTGCACGTCACTCATAGTTTCTGTTGCAAGGTCTAATTTTTTATTTTCTGAGTTTAAAAGTCTCATCTTTCGGATAGGGTGGTATAAACTGAAATTTTAAAGATAATTCAAAACCATAACTCCTTAAAAACACTGATTTCTCGGATTTGAGACTGACACAACAATAGGATTATTCTAACATGGCTTCCCGTTGATATAAACCCAAGCAATAGTTTTATTTCAATTTGCTCATATGTGCTTACTCCCTTTTCTTTTAATTGATTTCTTGATTGTTAACGCATATTCGAATAAGGTAATGCATATTCGAATAAGGTAACATTTTAAGTATACCTATAGAATCAATTAGTAGCTAATGAATATGTTGATCAATCTACGCCCAAATTATTGATTTAATTTTTGTGTCGCCTCTACGGAGTAGTTGCGACATATAGGGATCACTTTGGCGACATAAAGGGATCACTTCTCTGTCGTCTGTCTGTCTGTCTGTCCGCACTCACAGGACAGTAATTATGTGGCTAGAGGAACAATAGGTAACTGTTCTTTCTCTTTGATGTCATTCATTCCGTAATACTTTTATGTGGCTATTTTCTTTTGTGTGGCTAAAAAGAACAATAGAGAGAACAATAGAGTAGCCAAATAATTACTGTCCTGTGAGAACCTCCGGTCCGTCTGTCCGTCCGTCACAAAACTTTTCCGGACTACTCCTCATAAACTACTGGTGCAATTTCATCCAAACTTTACGGGAATGATCACTACCAAGTCTAGTTCTGCATATTGTCAGCATTTTCCGGTTCAATGATTTTTGTCAGAGTTATGGCCCTTTAATAATTTTTATCTTTTAAGTTTGTCCGGACTACTTCTCTTATACCACTAATGCAATTTCAATGAAACTTTACAGGATTGATCTGTAGCTCAAGTCCTTGCGCATATTGCACGGGTTTTTGGGTTGAATGATTTTTGGCTGAGTTATGGCCCTTTGATAAAAATGTGTTTTTTCTGTGTGTTGCCAGATACACAAAAGCTTGTCCGGACTACTCATAAACTACTGGTGCAATTTCATCCAAATTTTACAGGAATGATCAGTACCAAGTCCAGTTTTGCATATTGTCAGCATTTTCCGGTTCAATGATTTTTGTCAGAGTTATGGCCCTTTAATAATTTTTATTTTTAAAGTTTGTCCGCACTACTAGTCTTATACCACTAATGCAATTTCAATGAAACTTTACAGGATTGATTTGTAGCTCAAGTCATTGCGCATATTGCACAGGTTTTTGGGTTAAATGATTTTTGGCCGAGTTATGGCCCTTTGATAAAAAGGTATTTTTTCTGTGTGTTGCCAGATACACAAAAGCTTGTCCGGACTACTCCTCATAAACTACTGGTGCAATTTCATCCAAACTTTACAGGAATGATCAGTACCAAGTCTAGTTGTGCATATTGTCAGCATTTTCCGGTTCAATGATTTTTGTCAGAGTTATGGCCCTTTAATAATTTTTATTTTTAAAGTTTGTCCGGACTACTTCTCTTATAGCACTAATGCAATTTCAATTAAACTTTACAGGATTGATTTGTAGCTCAAGTCCTTGCGCATATTGCACGGGTTATACGGTTTAATGATTTTTGTCACAGAAGATATAATTCTTCACGATTATGTGGTTCCCAAACTTAAAAGCGCTGCGCAATTTGCACACGGCAAAGCTGGGGCCACATAATCGGATAGCTTCGTTCATAGCCGTCTGGTCCATTGAATTTATCGAAAGATTTTGTAGTTGGAAAAAAACGGCGATAATATTGATGTTTATTTCGGCTGTTGCGTTGTTTATATTACCGTTGAAGTTTAAATTGATCATCATCGTGAAAAATTATATCTTCTGTGTCGATTGACCAAAGGCTTATGTGAAGATATAGGAAATGGAATAAAATACATGGTGATTTTGACGGTAGGTGTGCAGATTTTTTCTGGCGAACATTTTTATCTTGTGTATCATTATAGACGTTGAAATATGATTTTTTTTCAAAACGGCTTATATTAAGTTTTTTTTTTTATATATATGATCAGTACATGTGCTGGGATTGACAAATATGCATTTTATTTGGATTTTAAAGGCGTTTTGAGCTCCAAACCCCAAGTGTCTGTGGTAGGTACGCCACTGCATTATACCACTACATAAAAATGGGGATGTGAATAACGTCAATAATAATCGTGGTATAACGTTATTGAGTATTCTAACACGACCGCATTTTTCACTATTGAATATAGAAGAACCGAAAGTGTGTGTTATTTAAATAATATATCCCAAACTGTGATTGTATTGCTCAATAAAATCACTGTTGCAAGGAATTATATCACGAGGGCGTAGCTCGAGTGATATAATGATGTGCATCTGAACGACAAACAGTGATTTTATCAAGCAATAAAATCACCGATTTGGATATATTATTTCGATTCTAACACGACATCAACAAATGAATGCTGCCGTACCTGACATTAAGCTAAATTGTGCCTGATTTGTTTCCGTACTTATTTTTAGCGTGTAATATTTTTAGTGGTTACGTCACATGTATAATGATTACGTCACATGTCTAAATATAGAATGTCAAACAGTGATTTTATAGAATAATAACACACTTTTGGTTCGGAAAAAAATGCGGAACCTTGTGTGAGAATATCCAATTAAGTCACAGTTGACGTCCTATATTTAGATATATGACGTATTATTACATGCTTTTCGGTGGTTTATAGAAATATATCAGTGATATAAAACTGGTAATTTCACTGTTTGAAACAGTGAAATTACCACTTTGATAATTTCACTGTCTTGAATTTAAGCCCCTTACGTTGTTTCAGTGCAATTCCAGCGTGCACTGTCCTGGGTACCAACTTAATGATGTGACGTCGTAAATGACGTCACGTTTTATTATTATTTGGCGCGCTTTTCATTCAGTATTAGGTTTAATGTCTTTTTAAAACGTTTCTTTGCATGTAATAAAAAGAAAATTTGTTTAGTTCAGTGTAAGATCGGAATATATTTCACCTTGTGAACACCAAAAGTTCATATTTCACTCGTGGCTGCGCCACTCGTGAAATATACCTTTTGGTGCTCACTCGGTGAAATATATTCCGATCCTACACTGAACTAAACAAATATCCTCTATATCATTATACATGTGATGTAACCACTAACAAAATCCGACGCGCAGAAAATAAGTACAGAAACAAATCATGTAGATTCTATTTGCAGAATTAGGTCGCTATCCTTTATATGTATTTCGTTTAGTACATATTATTAAATACTGGGTAAAGATTATCAATACGGATAATATGCTATTAAAATCAGTTTATGCACATTCATTGGCACAGTATTATAATGGTAGAAAAAATTGGGTTTTCCATGTTAAAAAACTACTCGATGATTATGGATTTAGCTCTGTTTTTGTAAATCATGAAAACATGAATTTAAAATTATTTGTAAAATTGTTCAAGAAAAACAGTAACGGATTGTGCCTTACAGAAACTATTTAGATCTTAAAATATTGAGAAAAATGAAACACTGAAATCCTTGTACACACATTTAAAACCTAGCTTTTGTATATCTGATTACTTGATTAAAATAAATTCGTTTAAAATACGTAATTTAGCATAACTAGATTGCGCGTGTCGTCGCATAATTATACTTTTAGAATCCTTAAGACTTGGCGTAATCGAAAACCAAGAAATGAAAGATTATGTTATTTCTGCGGTATTGACATAGAACATGAATTTCATTCTATAATCAGATGCAAAAAAATATTCTGACCTGAGTTCTAAAAAAGAAAAAAGTCTTGTTATATTTCGGAAATTTTAGAACACAAGCATTTACACGCAGGGAATTAAATCTATCTATGTATCCATCTGATTCTCTATCTATTTTGTTCAAACAATTCAATTCTCGCCAATAATATATTTGTTGTACGAGCTGATATCAAACTTACCCTTTGTCTTCTCCCATAGATCATCTACCTAATGGAAAAATAAGATCGCATTAATACAACTATGAAAATTGAAAATTTCAAAAATAAACAATGACATTTTTAGTACATGGCTTGCAAATAAAAAATGTATTCTTTTGTATCTAACAACTAAGCATACTATCATAGTTTGACACTCTAAGAGTAAAAGTTAACACGATCAATATCAATTGAAAAAAAATGTGAATGGTTTGAAATTAAACGTAAAAGTTATGTTTAAGCTTATTATATTTTTATTTGTTTACCTCTTCCTTTAGCTCTTTACACCAATGCTGAAGTATATCTATATAATTCTTCTCATGTAATTGACATGGATCTAGGCAGCTCTTTTTATAATTTTCTAATAAAGCGTTTATCTCAAGTTCATCGTTGCCGTAGATATGTTTATTCAGTCGAACCAACACTTCTTCAATCTGATTCCAAAGTGTTTCAAAATCCCCCGAATTAATTTTTGCATTTACACTGTGACCTATTGTAGAATTGCGTAATTCTTTTAAACGTATAAGATCGGCTCCAAGAGAAAAATCGGTTTTATCTAAAGGTCCGTGCCATCCATTTCTAGGCGGATCAATCATGCCAATGAAAATATTTGTAAGAAGTGTAAGAATAAGGGAAAGGTCAAACTCATCAGGATCTGGATTACTTATTAACTTCATATACTGTTTTTCAGTTATAACACGTCTCCTTTTTAAGTCAAATATTTCACTACCTATAGTTGTACTTCCAAAGAAAGACGGCACATTTGATTTTGGTTTGAAGTGATAAAATATGTCACGTGCTGTTTTTGTTCCAAGATCAACTAGCAGTCGGATTATCTTTAGATAATTTGAGCACTGTTCTGGATTATCCGACATTATATTTGCGATGCCACAGAGTCTTCTGTGTGGTCAATACAAAACACAAGTCCAAAAAGTGAGCAAACTGTAATTGTAAAGGGGGAAGAACACATTAGAAACTTGGAAGTATTATTATATCATTATTAACCAATCTTAAGATTTTAAAGCGTTCAAAGTGATACCAGGGTTCACATTTATAAAGATATTTATTAAATTCAATACTGATTCTATAGAACTCGTTCAGAGTTGAAATACTATTTGGAAAGTTAGATAGACATATACTTATATTTCCTCCAATAACTGAAGAGCTGAACAAACAACAACAACAAGTATATATATATATGTACAATGTTGGTGCTATCTAAATGTATGTATAAATTTGACAGAGATTGCTTGTGAGTGACTATACAGCTTTTAGAGAAACAAAACAAGTTTACTACAATCTCATCGTCGGATACCCACGATTGATAAACATGTCACATAACATGCATGATAATGGTTCGGCCGTGGGTATCCGACGATGGTATTTATTCGTTTTGTACTGACTCACGTGTTTATATATAGCACAGGTTAATTCGTGTATTAATCTTTAAGTAGATCATAGATATTACATACTAAAGTGAATATTAAAGAAACATTACATAGATTACACTTACCATGCAGTTAGTTATCTATTCGTTTCCTTGTCGGATATCATTCATTAGAACCACTTGTTAAGAGAAAAACACGCAAACAAAATTTAACACACGCTCACTTACTCCAAGGTCATTCAATTTGAAGTGAATCATTATTACTTGTATCTGGGATCCCATGTTTTTTTATGACATATACAAGCGCGTATAGTTTTTCACTATTGTAGTGTAATATCGTTTTTATTAAATTGCTTTATTACACTCCTGCGCCGCGGTTTATGTGATAATATCATTTATTTACTATCGTTATAACCACGTAACGCCACATACAGCGACGCTGCTCGTATATTTACAATTTTTTAAGTACAATATGCTATATTTCTGTTAGAATAACCTCAAAATGTCGACAGAACATCGTGTATAATGATATAATACTAAATTTTACTTAATTTGAGCATTGATTTAGTGCTAATAAGTATCCCGTAGGCAGGATGACATCGGTCTTTTAAAAGTTCACACACTTAGTGTAAGTTGCTAAAATTGTACATTTGTTTGTACAGTACAAACAATATCACAAGAGTCCAAGTATCACAGGTCCGAGTCACAATGAGCAATGAGCAACCAAAGAGTATATTATTTATTCATATTTGAAAAGACAAAAAGACAAATGTTAATGTGGTAAATTATGGTTGGCACATTTTTATTCAATGCCAATGCGTTTTATTTTAAATATTTCTTTTTGTAAATGCAGTCTGTAATAAATAAATTAAACTGCATCATTAGATCTTTGTGTTATTTTGTTTATAAATTTATGTATATCCTTTTCTTAAATCGTCCAACTAATCCATGTTGCGCCTGGGTGTAGTTGAAATGCAAACTAGAAATGTGTCCATAGGACACGGGTGCCCCAACCGCGCCACTGTTCTGTCAATCTTATGACTCTAGGTCAAATATTTTTTGAAAACTAAAAATCTTTTACTAAGTATAGAGCAGGTCTTTACAAATACTGAATAAATCCACAAGCAAACCCAAAACAAGTACACATGCTGACCAACATTCTTGTAAACTTTCAAGCCTACAAGTCAAATACTTTTTGAGCTATGCATGAACAAGTTGAAAATTGCAAATTTATACTAGTACTGTAAGTCAAGGGCAATAACTCTAACAAAACTGAAAAAAATCCACATGCAAAGTCCCAGGTGCATAGCTTCAAACTGATGTGAATCATTATTCCTGTAATTTAGTGATGTTGATAATAATTCCTGTAAAGTTGGTTGATTCTAACTCAAGCACTCAAGAAACAAATAAAAACATAATGGATAGGTTTTTACTAAGTCAAGGGAAATTACTCAAAAAATACTAAAAATATCCAGACGAAAATACCCAGGTGCACAACTACACATGCTGATCAACATTCCTGTAAAGTTTCATGACTCTAGGTTAAATACTTTTTGAGTTACGTGCGACACAAAAGAGAACGGACGGACGGACGTTCCAACATTTTGGGTTTAGGGGCTATTTTCTTTGTTATTTTCTTTATTTTTTAAGGGCTACTAGCCCATAAACCCTTTGATCATGGAATGAACCTATTGTTCTCTTTTGTTTTTCTTACTGTTATATACATGTAGCCCCTAAACCCAAAATGTTTGCTCGGACGGACGGACGAACGGACGGACGGACAAGGGTAAATCTAAATGCCCCCCTCTAAAGTGGGGACACAAAAAGTTATCTGGAGAGAGAAATCTAGTCAAGGGTATGTGAAAACTTGACACCAAATAGCTGTTTTTGCTCTGATGATATTTTTAATATTTAGTAAAATCCATATTACCACTTCAAGCTCGCCAGGAAAATAGTTATACTGTGGCAACTATAAGGAAGAACTCGTTTTTAATGGTGGACTAGAAGTGAGTAATTTAGGAACACACCTGTATACAAAGGACTAACTTATTGACATGAAATTAAATATTTAATTATTGTTCCTTTCTTTGTTATCAAGTCATAAAAAGGAACAATGTTTATCTTGGCGCTGACATCAATTTCACAGATGTTACAAATCTGACGGTTCATTGCTATACAAATTCCAAGGTGATGACATTATCACTTCAGTGGTGAAACGTAAGATTTTATTGGTTTCTTCGTTCTGGCAATTAACAGCAGAAAATGTTTTCTCTTTGCTAGATCAAAATATAAAAATAAGAGGGCCATGATGGCCCTGAAGTCGCTCACCTGTATATAGGCCAGTTTAAACCCCAGGGCTTTTGTTTGAACAAACTTGGTAGACACCCATTAGAAGATATTTCATGCTAAACATCTAAGGTTTGGCTCGTTGAGTTTTTTAAAAAAAATATTTTTTAAGATTTAACTATACACATATAGTTAAAAGCAATGACACCCCTAGGGCGGGGCCAGTTTTGACCCCATTTGACACTCACTAGAAGATGTTTCATGCTTAATATCTAAACTCTAGCTATTTGGTTTTTTTAATCAGATTTTTAAGTTTTTGCTATACACATATAAGGAAAATCAATGTCCCCCGGGGCAGGGCCAATTTTGACCCTAGGGCTTTTATTTGAACAAACTTTGAAGACACTAACCGGAAGATGTTTCATGCTTAATATCTTAACTCTAGCGATTTGGTTTTTTTCAAAGAATTTTTTTTTAAGTTTTTGCTATACACATAAACAAAATCAATGACCCCCGGGGCGAGGCCAATTTTGACCCAAGGGCTTTTGGGTTTTTTCAAAGAATTTTTTTAAGTTTTTGCTATACACATAAATAAAATCAATGACCCCCCAGGGCGGGGCCAAGTTTGATACTAGGGACAAAATTTGATCACTTTTGGTATTGGACCTTCAGATAATACAATATACCAAATATCAAAGCCCTAGGCCATTTACTTTCAGACCAGAAGATTTTTCAAGTTTTCACTATATGTATATAATGAAAATCAATGACCCCCGGGGCAGGGCCAATTTTGACCCGAGGGCCATTATTTGAACAATCTTGGTAGAGGTCAACTTTACATTGTTTCATGCCAAATATCTAAACCTGTAGCCTTTACAAATTCAGAGAAGTAGATTTTTTTAAGGTTTTACAATATATATATATATATAAGGAAATACCTATGACCCCCCCCCCCCGCCCAGGACGGGGCCGATTTTAATTCTAGAAACAAAATTTGAACAACTTTGGTTTTGGACCTATAGATGCTACCATAGACCAAAAATCAAAGCCCTAGGCCATTTACTTTCAGACCAGAAGATTTTTCAAGTTTTCACTATATGTATATAATGAAAATCAATGACCCCCGAGGGCGGGCCAATTTTGACCCGAGGGCCATTATTTGAACAATCTTGGTAGAGGTCTACCACACCATGTTTCATGCCAAATATCTTACCTGTAGCCTTTGCCAATTCAGAGAAGAAGATTTGTTTATGTTTTACTATATACATGTTAGAAAAACCTATGACCCCCGGGATGGGGCCAATTGTGACACTAGGGACAAATGTACAACTTTGGTATTGGACCTTCAGATGATACCATAGACCAAATATCAAAGCTTTAGGGCATTTACTTTCAAACCGGAAGATTTTTCAAGTTTTCACTATATGTATGGAATGAAAATCAATGACCCCCGGGGCGGGGCCAATTTTGACCCTAGGGCCATTATTTGAACAATCTTGATAGAGGTCTACTACACAATGCTTCATGCCAAACATCTAATCTGTAGCCTTTGCCAAATCAGAGAAGAAGATTTTTTAGATTTTACTATATACATATAAGGAAACACCTATGACCCCGGGGCGGGGCCAATTTTGACACTAGGGACAAAATTTGAACAACTTTGGTAGAGGGCCCATAGATGATACCATACAATCAAAGCTCTGGCCCATGTACTTTCAGACAAGAATACTTTTTAATTTTGTGTTTTTTGAAATCCTTTCTGGCCCTATGACCTACATATGAAACAGCCCGGGAAACCATTTGAAAAACTTTGAAAAGGGGAACCCCCCAAGGAATTTCGTTAAATTTGGTTTATGTGCGTCTTTTGGTTTCAGGGGAGAGTTTTTAATGTTAAAATTGACGCCCGCACGACGACGGACACAGGGCCATCACAATAGCTCACCCTGAGCATTGCTCAGGTGAGCTAATAAGAATGTGAATAAAAAAAGTTTCAGTACAATGTATACAATTTTAGGTTGCAATTCCTATCCTTGCTCAAATCGTATAAAATTTCTCCATTGAATAAATAAATGTTCATATAACAGACTACCGAAACCACACTTTCATCGACATAGAAAGGCGTCCCTTTGTCATGTTTGTGGTTTTATTACCTGGTCATGGGTGAAATATATGTTACATCTGAGGTCATACTGGTCATACATCCTTAATAACCACATTGTATGCTTAAGAGTTTAAACCATAAATGTGATAAAAGCAAGATTTACCAGCTGGTAACAGAAAGATTTATTTTCCACTTAAGGATTATTCATTGACAATTATTGTTTTGTTTTAGTCTAATGAGTTCTTAAGATACATGTAGGTGTTGAAACCATTGGATACAAACTGAGACAAAACAGGCCACATTATATTATAAGAAAACAATAATTGGGTATGAATTTGTAAAAGGTAAACATGTTTTGTATGTATTCCACCTGACTATCAAGTTTTATCAAATTTACTGCTTTAGAAATACACAGTAAATTAATTAGATCAAGCATTGTATGAACCACAGAGAAAGTACTTGCTTTCAATGAGTGGTTGAATTGACCTATTTTGATATGTGGCCTTGAATGTGATGCGTAGTAACTTTAAAGAAGAGAATTATATACACAACAACTGGCATAGGTTTGTTTCTTGTAAACATGTGCAAAAATATGACATGTCCATTTTTTGAAAAAATACAATATGTTAAATTTTGCATTTACATGTATAAGATTGACTTTTTTTGGAGTGTTACCTGTTCTATTGTTATAAAGTATACACACTCTTAAGTCATTATGTAAACAATTGATTAAACTTTACATTTTTCTGATGGCGGATACATGAGATAGTAAAATACAATATCAAGAAGAAGAAATACCAGATACTAAAGTAGTTTATTAGATGGGTTGACCACAGCTAATAATATTTTGTCCTAATTTTCTATTCATAGTTTAAACCAATAATTTGATTATAGTTTTCCTTTGTATATTTTGACCGAATTAGTTAGTCCTTTATGGTATCA